CCAGTTTTCCCCCCCCCCCCTCCCCCCCCAGGAAAAAAAAAAACATTTTTTTGTTTTTTTTTTTTTTTTTTTTTTTTTTCTTAGTATCAGCAGACAGCAACTGAACTTTTAGGGACTTTTGAGTGTAAACGACGTGAATTTTTTTTAAATAAAAAAATTACCACTATCTGTCTCTGTATGTGGAGGCACACGAGTGGTTAATCAGGTGTAATATGGCGTGGCCAATACAGACTAGAAAGACTGAGCGCAGGGAAATGTGTTTATGAATGGAGTGCTAGCTACTTACTGCTATGTAAGTAACATCATTCATCTCCAGGGAAGAGCTCTGTTTTCCCCTATATCGTTGGTCCTCTTTCTTACCCGGGCAAATCGAGCTGGTCCACGCAGAATTGTACTAAGATAGTGTTGCTGTGGGAGCCATAACTTACTAGGTCTTGGAAATGCGGGAGCTTTGCTAGAGAGAGTATTGATTTACTTTAAACAACCAACTCAGTCCCCCTTCCAAACATTTCAATATGAGAAGTAAGTAGGTGCATTTTAAAGGCAGGATTTCTAATACCAATGCATTGAATCGATGCTTCCAGATTGCCTTACTGAATGTACGTCATCGGCAACTAAGATGGAAATGCAGACTATGCTGTTTTGACATTGGGGAAGGCATCACAGCTAAGATTGTGATGACAAACACCATGTCATCTGTACGGCACGCTTCCTACAAGCTGAAACTCACCATTTTACACAGTGCTGAAACTAAAATGAACATCTGTGTGTGAAGACATATTTGCTAGAAAGAGACGGTAGCAAATATGGCATTTAAGGAAAGCTGGGAGAGCAACTTCAAGATGGAGTTGTGCTGAAAACCATGAATATGCTATTAAAAAATTAGATTTTTCTGTGTTACAGAATTAGAGTGAAAAGGAGCCAAGAAATATTGTTGACAGAAACAATGCATCAGCTGGAGTGGAAATGTGAATAAATTAACATGTCATGCATATACAATTTGTTTGGCTTTTGAATGTTTAACAGACTATGGCTGTAGAAATTAATATTTATTTAAACCATCTGCTGATAACGTTTTCTCTATATTTTTAGAAATGTAGAAGAAACTATAACAATAAAGATCTGAAAGCTTAATGCATAATCACACTTTCAAAGAAGTATTATCATAAACTTCGGGTGAGTTAACAGTTCCTGAAATCATCTGAGGTTGCTCATTATTTTCTAAAGATGCAGACCAAAATAACAAGTTTGGTGGACTGACCCATATCCTTAGCAATCAATACTTGTTCATCTACCGAGTCTGACACTGAGAGATCTTACTCCTCCTTTATCACCACCAATATATTTGTTTACAAAATTCCTATTCGTAACCCTTGGAAGTTAATTGAAAATACTGCACAAGCTGCATTACACAAAAAAGGCAATGCTTACGGCTGGTCTGGTGGGAGAAGGAAGCAGTCAGCTTCACATGGCGGCTGTTCAGAGAACTGACGTGATAAAAACGTACTTCCAGAGATTAACACCCCTGAACTCACATTGACATCCATGCATTTAGTTTTGCCAGCAGAACTGCATTTTAGAGGTTTAATTGGTTCTGGTTTAGATGTAAACAATGCAACACAACTTACACAACTGGGTAGTCAACTGGCTGCATTACTAACTGGATGCCACAATGGCAGACATCGCAGAATTAAAAGAAAAAGGACCTTGTTCTAACACGGTTTTCTTGGCTATTTTTAAAAAAGGAGCGAGACCAAATGTTCACCCTAGATATGAGCTCAAATTTATAAAAAAAGCAGTAAGAACTTCTATTTTCCCTGGTTTTTTCCTAAATATTAGTGGTAAAATGAGAAACTACAATTTATTTCCAAATCACTGAAAATTCAATCTTTGCCCCAGATAACTGAGAGAGAATACTGTATCTGCCAATTCCAGAAAAAACAAACTCTATCAGTTCTTCTCTCTCTGAGAAAAGGCAAACGCAGACACCTTATGTTAGAGACATAGCCAACCATCATTACGTGGTTGCAAAGAAAAAGAAAAAAGGTTTCATTTGTTTACAGTTTGTTGTTAGACAACATCCTCTTCCTCCTCCTCCTCATCTTCCTTTGCAATGAAATGTAGCTTCCTGAATTCTCGCCTGCTCATCGTTGTGCTTGGGAGTGCAACTGCTGGGAGATCCTTTAAGAAAAAGATAAAATCATTAAGGAAAGTCTGTTGCAGCAGACCTCCTACCTCACCACCAGTTCACATACTTCCACATCTGATACATGAGGCACCAACACACACCTCTTCACTTGGAAACGGTGGCATAAGCCCATAGCTAAAGCAGAGGAGCTTTCAGGGGAGCTTGCCTGAACCAGTTATGGCTCATGGTCAAAGCAAGGGCTGGCATTCCTTCTGCAGGCTTGAGAAGGTTCAGAGAGGGTGAAGTGCTCCACAAACAAATCCTCACTACTCCCACTAAATACCAACCATGACTCCTGCTAAATACCGATCCTCGTGAAACACCTGAAAGGCGGCGGCATCACTTGCCCAAAGTTATACAATGTTAAAGGCAGACCGGGGATTCAAATTTCAAGCTCTGCCCCTTGATCCAAAAGCAGAGATCACCAGAAAACAGCTTCCATTCCAAAGAATTACAATGATCACGATTAAGAACCAATGACCAGTGAAAAACTATTTTGACAGAATAACACCGTGTCTTTATGAGTAAAAATACCTATCTTATGGAATTGGAATAATAAAATCTAAACAAGAAAGATTTCACATCCGAAATTAACATGCCTTGGCAATTCATTTCATCTCCGAGACAAATAATTCTACCCAGGAGACAGGGATATGACTCCAGATGTCTACCAATACTGGTCAAGTTTGCCTACAATTTTGAGGCTAACCTACTTTTGTTTGAAGATGCAAGACTGAAGTGGAACAGAACTGAATCTGTAGAGTGCACAGACTGTCATCATCCTACCTGTATAAACTCAACATCTCCAAAGAACCGGTCCACTGGCATTGGCTGGTTGCTGTCTTCGTCCAAGAAAGCAACACTGTCTAGTTGTATTGGCTTCTTCAGGAGATCTCCATCCTCCAAGCTAGACCCATCTGAAAGTACACTCTCACAGCTGCTCTCTTCTTCACTGCAGGCATGATTGTGCAGATTTTCAGCACTGTCCGTTTTTGAGGGAGCGCCGCTTGATTTCACTGCACGTGGCTCAAGAGAAACATTATGCTCCTTTTCCTGTTTGTCTTCATCAGTCTCTGGAATGCTTTCACCTTTTTTCTGTTGAATTATATTATGGTCTCCAGGATCTTCTGAACGTCGATCCCCATCAGATGTTTTAGGCGTTTCCCCCAATGCAGCAAGGTTTTCACTTCCACATGCAAGTCTTTCTAGTTCTGATTTTACTAGACTGTTTTTTTCACATTTTAGCCTCTTTGAGGGTCGTCTGTCAGCTGCATTGCGTGAAGAACACTGCTAGGAAAAAAAAAAAGATTTTAAAGCTTACTTGAAATAAAGAAAAATAAAATCACCGTATCTCTTTAGCTGCAAGGCTGGATGTGGAACCAAAGGCCTCCATCAAGCAAGTGGCACCTTGATCCAAAGCTGCATCGCTAAGAAAAACAATCAGTAGAAAGTGCACACGAAGAGAAGAAAAGAGGAGCAGATAGCTCACACTAAACCACAATGTACCGTCCATCACCAGTGGAAAGCTACTTCTCAAAGCATAAACTAGCACCGTATGTGGCTAACCACCATTTTCATATTTTCTTAGGGATGCTGTAGATGGCAATTAGTGTAGCAGAACGGACTATCACCCAGTATGGCAAAGTGTCCTGCCGCTTGCTAGCGGCACAGCGCACCGGCTAAGAGCCTACCACCGGCCTTTAAACAGTAATGAATCCAAAAGCTGGCCCTGTAGCACACAAATATGCCCCCGCACTGTACATTTGCACACAGGCGTCTAACAAAGTGGTGGAAAGGTAGGAAAGGCAAAGAATTTACTTAAATCCTCCAGGTAATTCCCTCACGGTGATGCTCAGTTTGTAGCTGTTAATAATTAGCTGCACCCCCCACACTGTTACTGCCGGCCCCCCCGCCCTCCCCCCCAGCCCCAGCCCG